GGGGGAACCAGGACCAGAGGGTTCTGGGTTGGAGTCCCGGGGGAACCAGGACCTTTCTGGGTGGTTCTGCATGTTCTCCTGTGTCTGTGGGTTCTCTCCGGGTTCTCCGGCTTCCTCCCACCCTCCAAAAACCTGCATGTTAGGTTGTTGGACTCCAAACTGCCCTTAGTGTGAGTGTGTGTGGTTGTGGGTCCTTGTGTGTCTCTGTGTGTCCCTGTGATGGACTGGGGACCGTCCAGGGGGACCCCGCCTCTCCCCATTGGCTACTGGGATAGGCTCCGCCCCCCCCCGACCATATTAGGGAATAAGAGGTTACCATAACCCAGAGCTTCTCAATTATTTTCTGTTACGCCCCCCCCTAGCAAGAAGAAAACTATTCGCGCCCCCCCACTCCCCACCGTCACCATACATCTGTACATGATATTTTATCCTTATTAACGTTAAAGAAAAGAAAAAAAGAAAGACATATGGTCAAACTTACAAAGAATAACTTTATTAAATCGTGTTTTAAGTCTGCAACAGAAAAGATTTTAAGTGCATCAATGCCTGAAATTAAAAATAAATTAATCCTTGTTTAAACTGTAAACGTGTTTGACCAACTAATTGCACCATTGCAAAATTAAATCAATAAATAATATTTCGTAATTATAGTAACTATTAAACTACAAAAACAACAAAAATAATAACTAATTTATAGTCAGTTCAGCAACATTAACTAATATATAAAACACTTAGCTCTGGGGTGACTTTCTTTTGTCTCGTTATCTTTGTCTCTCTCCACTTTTCTTTTCATCCCCGTTAAAAACTTTTCCATGTTGGGGGGTGTTATGTTGAATAACGGAGGCTACAGACAGAACGCAGATGCTAACCGAGGCTAACCTGTTGAAAGTGAGCAAGTGTGAATTCTGAGTGTTTTTCTTTGAGTTGACTGGAGAAGATTCATATCAGTACAGATCATTTTCTAGAGGATTTTTGTTCCTCCTCATGTTTTTTTAATCTCAGCGTTCATCCCTTTATTGAACGATGATAATCTCAATCCCATCGTCGGTCAAAATGGCATCATGTTTTATCTTGTCTATTCAAAAATAACAGAGTTTCAGAACATCTTTTTTTTTTCAGATTAACATGTTTTTCTAAAAATCTGGGCTGAATCCCCAGAAAACAGACATCTCTGGTCAAGCAGATTTATTCCGATTTTATTGGATTGCTCTTCTTTTTTCTTCAATGTTTCCACAGTTTGAATTCTAGTTGCTTATAACACTATTTGTCTAAAGGTTTTTATGCTTAAAACACATAATTAATCACCATACGTCTTTGTGACTGTACTAAATGAATTTATTATTATTATTCGAATGTTTTTATAGGGTTTTGCACTCATAAAACAATGAACAAGTCCCCAAACAGCAACCCGACATAAAGAATTATAAAGTGACAATAACACACACACACAAAAAAAATTATATAAATAAATAAATAGTAAATAAATAAAATAATAAAAACCTGACAAGTTACAGAGCCTGTGAATCAATTATTTCCCAGAATTTCCAGCAGAGAATTGTAAGTTAAAATAATTTAGAAATAGCTGCCAGACCTTATAAAATCTCTGGGTTGAACTGTACTAAATTAATTTGAAGACAAGATATATGTAATTGAAATGAAATCTCTCCACTAAAATGCGTTTTTTGGTCTACAGAGTTTGTTTTCAGACGGCTCACTTTTACATCGACGACGTTCCTCCACCCGGAGAAGCACCAACGTTTGGTAACACACACACACACACACACACACACACACACACACACACACACA